GCCCATCTAGCTTGACGTCTATTAAGTACTTTGGTTGTTGCAAAGTATTCTAAATTCTTGTGATCCGTATAAACTGTAATTTCTTGAGCTCCTTCAAGGTATGGTCGCCATTGTTTGAATGCTTCTACAATAGCAAGCATTTCCTTGTCGTAAATTTCATAGTTGAGTTCGGCTGGTTGAAGTTTTCTTGAGTAATACGCCACAGGGTGAAGTTGATTTTTGTCGTCTGGATGGGAGAGGATACCAGCAATTGCAAAGTCAGAAGCATCTGTCTCTATTACAATTGGCTTGGTGGGCTGGAAATGGTGGAGAATGGGAGCAGTGGTAAATAATTTCTTGAGAGAGTTGAATGATTCTTCCTCAGAGTCACCCCATTCAAACTTAACATCCTTGCGGAGCAGTCTGGTTAATGGTGCAGTGACTTTGGAGTAAGACTTGATGAATCGCCTGTAGAAGTTGGCGAAGCCAAGGAAGACTTGAATGTCATGGACGGAGTGTGGTGTTGGCCAGTCGAGTACTGCGGAGACCTTTTTGGGATCCATACTGATACCTTTGTCTGAGACGATGTATCCTAGAAAGTCGACTTGATGCTGAAAGAAGGTACACTTCTCTGCTTTGGCCCAAAGATTATTTTTCCTAAGTCGCTCAAGCACCTGCTTGACGTGACTGATATGATCCTCTCTTGTTTTGCTGAAGATGAGGATGTCGTCCAAATAGACAATAACAAAGATGTCGAGATAATCCCTCAGCACATCATTGATGAGGTACTGGAAGGATGCTGGAGCATTGGTGAGCCCAAAGGGCATTACAAGATATTCAAAGAGACCATAGCGGGTCCTAAAAGCTGTTTTCCACTCATCACCATCCTTGATGCGGATGAGGTTATAAGCTGCACGAAGATCGATTTTTGTAAACCATGATGCCTCCTTGAGTCGGTCAAGGGATTCTTGAATAAGGGGCAGGGGATATCGATTTTTGCGAGTGATTTTGTTGAGTCCTCTGTAATCTACACAGAGTCGGAGGGTACCATCAGGCTTCTTGACAAAGAGTATTGGAGCGCCTGCTGGACTAGAACTGGGTTGGATAAAACCTTTCTTGAGATTGTCCTTAAGATATTCATCCAAAGCTTTAAGCTCAACTTCAGAGAGTGAGTAGATGGGTCCAAAAGGTGGTCGCGAGTCACCCTCAATAGGAATGGAATGATCATACTGGCTATGTTCTGGGAGCTGGTCGGAGTTGGATTTCTTGAAGACTTCTAGAAAGTCATGGTACTCGGGAGGTATACTCTTGAATAGAGTATCCATATCAGGATCAGGATCATCATCGTCCTCAGCTGGAAGCGGATCAATGAGTGAAGTGACTTGGGAGACAGAGGTGATGCCATAGACACAAGCTTTCTTTAGAGCATTGCGAAAGGCTGCTGCACTCACAAGGGTGACCTTGGGAGGAGCCGGAGTGTGGACAGGGACTGGAGACTGGAGTGACTTTTGTCGATTATGTTGTTGCTGGAGAGACCGCGGAGCACCATGCTGTCGTTCGATCTTGCTGGAAGGAATCCTCTCAGAGGCACACTGGCGATCTTGAGTGGTCAAAGGGGAACCTGAGGCACACTGGCGCTCTAAGTTACTAGACTGGAGTGGGGTACCAAAATCTTTTCCCATCAACTTGTCAGGTTGACTGCACTGCATCCTACAGTACAGGGAAGAGAAAACAATGGTCTGACGGGACCAATTGATAACAGGATTGTGTCGGGAGAGCCATGGAAGGCCAAGAATGACTGGATAGTCGCCAAGGGAAGTAATGTCAAGGGAGATCGTCTCCTCATGACGAATTGAAGTGGTTTGAACAGAGAGGTTGATGGGGCCAGAGTGATGTGTGATAGCACCAGAAGATATTTTTCTCCCATCAATAACATGAAGGTCCATAGGTTCATCCTTCTGGACTACTGGGATATTAGTTTTGTCGAGGAAGGTCTTGTTCAGAAAGCTGTTGGTGGCTCCTGAATCAAGCATAGCGTAAGTGTTGTAGTGTTTGTTACCAAAGGAGAGTGTAATTGGAATACACAAATGCTCCTGAGGGTTGTCCGGATTGATTGATAGTGTTGAAGCCGTTGCCGTTTGACGTTGAATATACCGTGATAGTTGCCCATGATTAGGCCCCAGAGCAGGGGACTTGATTAGGCCTGGGGCTGGGAGTTTTTTGCTTCCTGAGGTGCTGTGACAGCATTGACCATTGCAGGAGACTGTTGCTTGTTGGGTCTTGCCTTGCATTGATTGGCAGTATGACCGGGCTTTCCACAGTATAGGCAAAGCTTATTCTTGAATCGATGCTCACGCTCTTGAGATGTGAGAGGAACAAAGCGAGGTCGGACAGCATCCACTTCCATAGGGACAGGAGTGAATGTGTTGGAAGGGGTAGACAAAGTATGAGTGGATTGGGTAGTGAAGGATCGAGAGTTGTTAAAAGAGGAGTTGTTTTTACGTGGTGGGGTAGACTTGATAGTGTTGACTGGAGTGATACCTCTCTTGCGGTTGAAGAGGAGGTTGTCCCAAATGATAGACTTGTTGATGAGATCCTTGAGAGTCTTGAAGTCATTTGGTGTAAGAATCTTATCCTTCACATCTTCCTTCAATCCATCAAAATAGGCATGGCGGAGTGCCTCATCATTCCAATGAAGAAAGGCCGCATGCTTTTCAAAAAGTGCTGCATACTCTGATGCTGACTTATTTTGCTTGAGTGTCTTGAGTTTGTGATGTGATGTCTCAATGATGTCGGAATCACCAAATGTGTTTTCAAATTCCTTTTTGAAAGCTTCCCAGTTATCAACCCATTGAGGACGAGTTTCAGTATGGTTCATAGCATGAGGCATGTACCACTGATAAGCTTCATCCTTGAGGAGATTTGAGGTGAAGGCAATCTTAGATTGATCAAGAGCATAGGTGCGGGGTTGGGTATTGAAGACTGTGTCACACTTCAAAAGAAATACCAGAGCTTCATCTTTACGGCCACTGAAGGGCGGTGGTGAAGTTATCTTTGATTAAGTACAAGATAGGGTTTATATAGACAAATCAACCTTTTCCAAGAGGCTCGTGCAGACCTGCGGAATACGAGCGCTCTGAACCGTCCTGCACTGTCCTGCATGCATTGCCTTGCATCCCACCGATAACCACTGATATCCTACGATGCCATATCTGCGTTTACCTACGTCCTCCTATGACATCCTACGGGATGCGCCGGAAGTCGCTTGACTTTGTCGAAGTTGGTCGATGAGGAACTATGAAGGACTATGCAGAACATAGAAGTGCTGCGAGAACAAGAGACTGAGATATTATGCCTTAGCAGGCATTAGAACAGAGGAACTAGAGACTAGAGAATTACTGGGGACTTATGCCTTGCAGGCATGGGAGCTAAGCACCGACATACTAGAATGATACTTGGAGTTTATGCCTGATAGGCATGAGAGCAGAGGTGAAATATTAAAACACGGAAGTGGAGGTTGAACTTATTTTGCGCAACAAGGAACACGTGATGGCGTCATTCATGACACTACTGCAGCACTGCCTCCAACTCCCGCTTTCCTCTGTCTTAATCCGTCGAACTCGATAGAGTCCTCTCGATTCGTTGTTACCCCGTAACACCCTCCTTTTGCCATCAAAACACGGAACCCAACCAACTGAGACCAACTGCGGCAACGTCATGACCACCGACAGGTACAATGGAGTAACTTTGGCTAAATTAGGATAAAGGAGAGGAATTAGGCAAAGTTAGGATAAGGGAGAAGGAGGTAAACCTAAGTTAGACGAAGTTATAATAAGGAGGGGCCGGGGATACTGGCAGTTGCGGCTAAGTTAAGGGAAGAAGGTCTAAGCGCGGGGGACAGTGCAGCGTTGATGGAGGATCTATGTTGGGGAGAAGAAATATAGATAGCCAGCAGATCGCTGAACTTCTTCAGTGATCCTTGATTGTTGTCAGTAGCGAGAGATATATTCAGTAGCTACACCTTCGAGTTAGGGAGAGCTATCACCCAGCAGTTTGTCACGGACGTCAAATAACTTCTCTCTGATAGACCGACGGTCGACGAACCTTGGCTAACTTGACTCTTTGGCTTCAATGTCTCACCCAAACAGAAGGGTGCAGATGTCGAAAGGGGTGTAACTACGGCGTACTTCGGTGTAGTTCCTCTAACTAGGGTTTTGCACTGATGGCCATGTATCTTGATGTAGGTGTAGCTATCTCTATCAATCTTTCACTACTGACAACAATCAAGGATTGCTGAAGAGCTTCAGCGATCTTCTCAGCTAATATTATCTACCCCTCCTAGATGTTCACCCAACCCCCTCGCGCTTGGGCGTACTTCAATGCACTTCATCCAACTTCCCTGGTCCCCGGCCGTCCTTCTCCTCTCTTTGACTAACTCCGCCTAACATCGCCGCACTTTGGGTCCCATGGTCCCTAATTAGCCTAACTCCGTCTGACTTCGCCGTACTTCTGCTTCCATTGTCCCTACTCAGCCTAACTCCGTCTAACTTCGCCGCACTTCGCCGTCCTTATGCTCCAGACCCCTGTATACCTCATTCTCCCGTTGTACTTCGCCTTAGTTGGTCTCAGATGTCCTAGGTTATGTGTAGGGTGAAGAGGTTAAGACGTAATAGGGGTTTTGATGGTCAAAGGAGGGTTGTTTATGGTGGGATATTCGAGGTGTCACGACATAGTTCGTGACGCAGTTCGACGTACCACGGCAAAGTTAGCCGCAGCTCATTGGCAATCATCTTATTGTTTTCCACTCAACCACCCACTATGGCAAAGTCAGCCATAGTTCCCCAACCAGTACCCTGTCTCAGTGAGACATCAACACCCTAGTTCAACACAGATAGCCAAGGTTTGTTGACCGTCGGTCAGTAGAGGAGAAGAAACAATGTTTGTGACACATTGGAATGTGTCTCTTCTGTCATGATCCATCTTAAAAGGCTTCAAATTCTCTGTGAGAGTATGGTAGGCTTTTAAGAGTCTTTGCCATGAGACCAAATCCCTTCAGGAGGATGATGACAGGCTTGTGATCCGCCCTCCTCTTGGAATGTGTGGGTAGCAAACACCCCCATTGGGTCTTGCAGAGTACCAAACACGCTCCAACGGACCAGCAAGACTGCCATTCTGTTTAAATTCTCAGGATCCAAGAAATCCAAGGAAACACCCAGTTCACTGCAGATGATCATGAAACTACTCCAAGTCAGGTGTGGTCTATCTATGTAGCTCCAACATGGCGGTCTGTCCCGTCAATCCACTCGTTCATCAAGTCCGTATCTCCCCTCTTAACAACACTCCATGAAGAACGTTGAGCTATCTTCATCTCCAGAAGCTTGTGAGAACAACCCAAGGCCTGGCTTACCACCTTAGGGTCAAATGACTCTGTCAAAGCCATCAAATTCTCAGATGACAATCCTTTCCTTGCTCCCAACGACTCAGTGGCATTCACAAGGACCCGCATGTCCCACAGAGCAATCTGAGTGGCCAGCCCCCATCGAGATGCCACAAGACTTGCGACCTCCTCGATATCAGTGATTTCATTGAGGATTTGGCCAAATCTTGAATCTGGTTCCCACTTCACTTTCTCAGTGATCTCTGCATTATTATACCGGAAGAGATGATACCCCTGCATTGTTGTGTGATGATGTTTCAGAACAGAAGTCACATGCCATCCGGTGACCGTTTTGTCAATTGCCAAGCTAAGCGTGAAGTGAATAGTCTCCATTTTGACACTTGAGGCCAGATGCTGCTTCATCACCTTATCCTTCATATCCGCTTCTTCATCGATTATCACCTCGCAGGTGAACCCCAATGAACTCGCATCCTCCGTGAAGTGACTTAGAGCGTTTGTCACCTGATTTGTCCAATCTAGGTAGTCGCTTGCTAGAGAACCTTGTAGAGCCCGGCCAACCACCTGGTCTACGAAGCTTTCTACCCGTTTCATTGAAGGTAGGGGAGGTTGTGTGCTTCCCAAATGACTAGTAACAGCCAGATTGTATGTCACGCCCACATTGGGGGGACGATATGAGAAAAATGGGTAAAAGAGGACGTGGACGATGGACATACTGGGAAGATGTCTGGATAAGTTGATATCACTATCTTTCAGGGTAGGTATTATGTAAGTCGTAGAACTCATACCCGCCTATTCTGATACGCGGACGTTAAACGATTCAACTTGCTTTCCGCCCCCTTCTCAGCTTGAGAAGCAGGAGAAAGAGGGTCTAGGCCTTTCGGCGACTGAAATCTAAACATTCAGTCTCCAGAAGAAGGGAGGAAGGTGTTGGAGGGATCGAATAGGCTACGCGTGTTGTAACTTCTCTTCTCGTTCCTTCGTTCATGTTTCTATGCATTACTATATCGTTCGATTTCACCTGAGGGTAGCGTAGGGAATGGAGCGGCGGGGACTTTCTCCGCACGAAGGACGGCTATGTCTGTATCAAGCTGTAGATCCGTGTAGATCTTTCTCCATCCTTCCACTATATTCCACAACCTTCTTCTTCTATCTCATTCCATGAGATTCTATGCTTATTCATCCCATAGGTAGTTTGTAGATATAAACCCTTGTAGATAGAAGTATGCATGATCTTACCCTTCAATTGCCTTTCTACATTGGAGACGTTTTCGGTACCCGATCGCGTCTTACAACTGGTGGAGAGGCCGAATCGACGCCCGATTTCAGACATTGCCACCACGTACCTCAAGATCACCCTCACGGACATGGCGCTCACGCGTGTACCTCCGCAGACTGAAACGCAAGTTCCGCCCTTGCCAGGAATTACTCATCAAGATCAAATTTGCCACCGGAAAAATTTGCCACCCGAAATGATTTTTAACCCGCCCACCCACAAGCCCATACATACACCTCCTAGGGGACGCCTTAAGTAGGTCCAACAACATCAACACTCCGTGTAACCCGGAACCTTGGTAGTTTGTGCAACCCAAACCTCAAGAAACGTTTCAACAAGGTACCATCCAAAAGTGTCACCACTGAGCCTGGTCCTATACACTCGGTCCACCTTGTGATCTAATACTGCAAGAGAACAGTTCCTTGGATCAACACGTGCATCAACTCGGTACAGAAGTACAGTTGATCACCAACCAGAAGAAATCATCATACAGACATACGGTTAATTACCAACCAGAAGAAATCATCAACTCAATACAGACATACAGTCGGACACCAGCCAGAAGACATCCGATAACATAATTACCTGTCTGTAAGGACCAGACGTCGGAATAGTCTGCGTCGATGAGCTGTGACAATGAGGCCTTGTAGGGAACAAACCTAGTGATGTAGTGTATCGAAGAGATCTGTAAGATCGATGAGATGTATGTCAAATGATATAACTAGGAAAACACAAAATACGTCCGACAAGACATTGCTGAGAAAAGACTACGTCTATATACTGAAAACGAGCGGGATGATACCGATGAAGAGCATGCGTGGTTCGTAATGATGTTGAGGTAGACTAGCAGAGGAAGAGCGATGATAGTTACCGAGACGGAGATGTAAAAAAGGGTAGAGGTGTCGATGGATTGGTACCAGGCGTAGTAGCAAAACAGAGTAAGCCCGGACGCGGGAATGGAGACGGGGACGGGAATAGGAAAAGGAGTACGACTACCAGGTAAGGTACCCGTGGTAGCGTGTGATCCTGACACTGTCCAAGTACTTCAAATTACAAAGATACAAGACATCAAATATGTCCCAACCTTCCACTCCAGTAGCAAACACTGAAGACCAAGCTTCTTCTCGTATGACTCTTTGATCTCGAGCAAGAAACAACAATACCAACCAACCTTGCTCTTCATCTCTCAGTTCTCTTGCATCCAATATGCAAGCTCCGCCTGTAGATGACGATCATATCCGCACAATTTGTCTCGAGATACTTGCCACCCAAGTTCAATATCCAGCCTCTGTCCTTAGGCAAGTCACTCCATCCGACACCCAACTAATCAACCAAATTGAGCATCAAATCGCTCAACTCAAGGATGATTTCCTTACATATGAAGGAGTCCACAACAAAGATGCTCTCAAACAAGGGAACCAGCATAAAGCCACTACAAGTGAGCTTGCCACTCTTTGCATGGAACTTGCCAACTCAAAGAAGACTTTGGTAATACTGTAGCAAAATTGCAAGATAATCTTGGTCAAATACAACAGTCCGCAACTCAGACTGCTCCAAGGGTCACAGCTCCAGCACCCATTTTGAATGTCTCACCAATGACACCTGCAACAACAACAATACGACTCAAGACAACCGACTTACCGAAGTTTGGGAATAGCAACAACAATGAATGTCACGGTCCTGTCCTTGACAGACCTCAATGAATCAAAGACAGGTGGACTGCAACTGTTTAGTTAGCTTGGACAACGACGGTTAGTATGTTGTCCGTAGACTTGTGATATGGTCGGACGGCTGGAGTGACTTGCGAAGGATCCGGGCAGGTCGAGATGACGACAAGGGTGTATATGATGGTGTGAACAGGGGTAACGATGATGAGGGATGTGTCGGATGTAAGTAGTATGTCAAGATGAGGTCTTTTGCGAGTGGCAAATAATATTTTGATCCTTGAGAAAAGGAAACTACAAACTAGATACGAGCTCTTTATATACTTTTCAAAAGCCCTCTCACCCGATAATCAGTACGATTCTCGTATAATGGAGTCACCTGATAATCGGATGAGAATTGAACAATAATCACCTGATATCATGCATTATCGTGTGATAATCACCTGATAATTGGTGTATTAGCTGACATTGGTGATAGTCAGGTGAGAATCATACGAGAATCAGGTGATAATGTGGTGGATCAGGTGAGAGTCAGGTGAAAGTCCCTGACTCAGATGATAGTCAGATGACACTCAGGTGACAGTCCCTGAATCAGGTGATTTGGGGCACGACTTGGTAGAGTCGTGACAATGAATCTGTTGATGATTGGATCAACAAAATCTCCACTATTCTACAACAAAGTGGTGCTCCAGATTCTTGAGGTCACGTCCAAGATACCTCTCATACTTCAGTCATCTGCGCTTGATTGATTGGTTCAATACCCTTTCCGCTGAGGATCAATCTAAACGCAAAACCTGGAGTGAGTGGTCTGATTTGATCAGATCTACTTTCCGTTCTGCAAATTACTCTGCAAGATTGCTATCCCTTGCACGTAATTGTCGACTAAACCGTAACGAGACAATCACTGCTTACTTCTGGCAGAAGGTCAAATTACTCCGCAAAAGTTCATGGCACCAACATCAACAACAAAGTGCTAGTCACTGGAATTCTTGCTGGCTTGCCTATGTCTATGACAACATTACTCGATATAGATCTCAATATGGAACTTACTGAGCTCCACAGGCTACTTGTGGACAAGGAGGCCGGTCTTCACAAACTGGGCCTGACTACCGCAACCAATTCAACAAATACAAACCAAGCCACATCCAACCGGCAAAGTAGCCAAGTACAAGGCCAGCCGGTACAAAACCGTCAAACACGTTCAAGACCATTTCCAAACGGACCACCCCCGTCTCCATGTCATACCTGTGGAGAAAATCATTGGAGCTTCCAATGTCCAGTGAGACAAGCAAACCACCAAGGCAACCAGTCTCAACCGCCAGCTTCAAACCAGAGCTCAACTCCATCAAATTCAACATTGTCATCACCACACGCAAGCAATAACAATAATGGTAATCAGAATGTCACTCAGATACCTGATCAAAATCCTAGACCATATGGCAAGGCTCAAGGTCCTTGCAACATGTGGAACAACAACCGTCCTCCACCACCTTGTAAAGTCGGCTGGCTTACCAGGTTGTAACAAACTCCAACAACTATTAGAGTGACATTCCATCTCACTGTTACGGGGTAACAACGAATCGAGGGAACTCTATCGAGTTCGACGGATTAGGATGGAGGAAAGCGGGAGTTGGAGGCAGTGCTGCAGTAGGTAGGGACGGGTTTTCCCCTTTCGAGATTTTCCCCACTGGGTTTGCTCAAAGCGGTTTTTCACCTGTCCGAGTATGTACGTAGACGCTTGCAGCAGGAAGGAGACGAGGACAAGGATAGCCGTAGACAGTATATAGTACAATCAGCAAAGTACCAACTTTGCTGATTCTTCAATATCATTCTTTGGCTACATCGATTGCAGAGGAGACACGATTCATTAGCACCAGAGCCCCTAGATTTCCACGAGACATCCATCGAGTTCGACCCAACCTGCGACTTAGTCGTCGTGTTTCCAGTACCGTTACAAGTTGAAGAATCAGCCTTACGCACCTTGGGTCGAATCGGAGAGTACTGTATGCTCACCAGAGGGAAAGCGCGGAAAATGATACCAGAAAAAGAGGAGTTGGAACAAGGGCTGGTCCCAGAGGAAGAAATACCAAGAAGTTCTTTGAGAAGTACCATTTCACATGATCTCACTTCTACCACCACTACCCCAGATCCGCTGAATGAGTTATCGCAGCAGTTGTCACAATTGTTAGCCATTATGACGATGCAACAAAAGGAACAAAATGCATTAAGAGAAGAACTGGCTACGATGAAAGCTGACCGACAGAACCAACAGCTGCTCACATCGAAAGGGGCAAGTTCGATCGAAATCGAAGAAAACAAGCCGTATTTGGAGCCAAAACTTACCAACAACGAACGAACAGGAAGAACCAGGTGTGCGGATCCACCTACCTTCAGTGGAGAACGAGGAGAATTGGACAACTTCCTTGCAGCATGTCACATGAACTTCGAGTTCAAAGGGGCAGAGTACGCCACCGATCGCAGAAAGATCCTGTTCATGTACGGGTATCTTCGAGGCACCCCTCAAATGCTTATAACCCCGGCCATAACCAATCCAAGTATATGGAATTCGACCGAATGGCTAGAGAGCTACGACAAATTCATCCAGCATTTACGAACTCAATTTGGAGACAGTAACATGGCAGGTACGGCTATGAGGAAATTGCAGGAGTTAAGACAGACGGATACGGCCGCCGAGTATTTTGCCAACTTTGAACTTTGGTCCACACACCTTGGAAAGGTACCCGATGCCATAAAAATCGCCTCAGCCATACAGGGCCTGAAGGAAGAGCTACTGAAAGTGGTAGTGGTAAATAACACCGATCCTCGAACCAAATCGGACTGGATCTATTTCAAACAACATGTGATAGGGACTGAGGAGAACCAACGGATGGCTGAAACGATGATTGCGGCGAATCGATGGGCTGCTAGACGCAAACATGAGACGACCTGGCTTCCCCCCTCGATCGAATTCGATGCGATTGGATACTAGTCCGCCCAACCCGGTAGAACGCCACTCACAATCGACTGGTAGAGGACCCTTGCCCGGTGGAAAACCAGGGATGATGAATTATGGTCTACCAAATGACCCTCCGGTCACTTGGACAGAGGACGGAGGACGTCTCAGCGAGAACGAAATGACTTGGAGGAGGGAGAACCGACCTTGTCTCAAATGTAGAAGTCCAGAACATTACGCCAACAACTGTCCAAATGGAGGAAATACGAGGAACAACATTAGGGGATCCCCAAACCCGCATAGCTCACCAATTCCTAGTGGATCGAACTCGATCCCAACCGGATCCAAAGGGCCATTAGTTCGAGGAATGGCGGTGACCTTTGAAGAAGAGGGAAACGAATACCTGGCCTAAGTGATGCGACCACTTGCGGCCAGGATCTAACAGAATCGCACAAAATTCAACTACCAATAGATCTTAGTAATGACTTGGCTATAATATACATAAAAATACAGACAGAAGAAGATACCCTACGATTTGGAATGTTAATTGATACCGGAGCTACCGGAAGATACGTACAGCCGGCCTGTCCATTATACCATTTATTCCCCAAAAGACAGTATCGGGAACCACGGAAGATTAGGTTCCTCGATGGAACAACCGCGACGTTAGTGACCAAGTATGTAGAAGCTGAATTGGATTTAGGAGAAGGACTCAAGATTGCGACTCGATTGGATGTGATGGCATACAAAGGCCCCGAGGTACTGGTGGGATTGGATTTCTTGAAACAGTTTAGGGCAAGGATCGATTGTGGAAAGGGATTGATCGAGTTCGACGGAATCGGACAAGATAACGGTTGGAAGTATCCGAGGTTGGAGGAAGGATTGGTAAGAGGAACAGCATTGGAAAAAGGAGAAGATGAGATGAGCGAAGAAGAGTTACAACAGGTCATACCGACACAATGGCACCAATACCTGGAGCTATTCAAAGTGGAACGAGCCAGAAAACTACCACCAAGAAGAGAATGTGATCACGAGATCGAATTGACCCCCGGAGTAGAACTAAAACCAGGACCAATCTACCAACTGGATGAACATGGGGATGCATTCCTAAAGCAGTGGATCAACGATGGTTTGGCCAGCGGCCATCTACGAAGAAGTAAATCACCTTATGGGTCTCCTGTATTCCTGGTTCCAAAAAAGGGAGTGATTCCCTATCGAGTGGTAACGGATTATCGTGCGCTTAACAAGGTAACCATTAAGGATTCATACCCAATGCCACTCATCTCGACACTACTCGATCGACTTCAATTAGGAAGGATCTTCACTAAACTCGATTTGAAAGGGGCTTACCAGTTAGTCAGGATAAAGGAAGGAGATGAACATAAAGCTGCCTTACGAACAAGATACGGCAGTTTCGAGAGCACAGTCCTAAGGGATGGGTTGTGTAATGCACCAGCCACCTTTCAGAACTTTCTACAAGACATGTTTCACGATCTACTTGACGAAGGGGTAGTAGTTTATATCGATGACATCACGGTATACTCCGACACGATCGAAAACCACCAGATAATTGTCCAAAAGGTGTTAGACCGACTACTTGAAAACGATTTGGTCGTCAGTCCGAGGAAATGCGAATGGAGTTCAAGTGAAGTAAAGTTCCTGGGGTATGTAATAGGACACGAACGGATCGAAATGGATCAGGAAAAGGTGAAAGCTATTCTAGAATGGGGAGAACCCATGACAGTCCGGGATACTCAAGTGTTCTTGGGTTTTGCGAATTTCTATCGGAGGTTTATCAAGGGGTTTTCACATATTGTAGGACCTCTCACACGATTGACCAGGAAAGATCAAGCTTGGAACTGGACACAAGATTGTCAAAAGGCTTTTGACGATCTAAAGAAAACTTTCACCACAGCACCAGTACTTCGACATTTTGATAGAACACGACCGACTTGGATTGAAACCGATGGATCCGATTGCGCGATAGGTGCGATAGCGTCTCAGAGATTTCCTCACCCATCAATAAAGGGAACCACCGAACTTCACCCAGTAGCGTACTGGTCTCGAGCAATGACGCCCTGTGAGCTAAACTACACGGTGGGAGAGAAAGAATTATTAGCCATCGTGGATTGCTTGGTCGCCTGGAGGCCCTACTTGGCTAACAGTAGTGATGTTATAAAGGTCATTACCGATCACAAGAACCTAGAATACTTCCAAAGCAAACGACAACTAAATCGAAGGCAGATGAGATGGTTGGAAATATTGGGAGACTTCAACATAGAGATCACTTATCGACCAGGGAGCAAAAATGGGGGAGCAGATGCTCTGACTAGACGAGGAGATTATCATCCGGGAAGAGGGAGTAGCAAGGACCCAGACCTAAACAAAGGTAACTGGCTACAATTGCTACCGATACACGAACAAATTGGATCGAATTCAATGGACTCAGAACACAAAGGACCAAGACACATAGTAAGAGGAGCAATCCGGGAAGACTCATTATTCGGACTCATCAAGAACGGACTGAAAGACTCAGAAGACATAGCAAACATACGACAACTAGGACTACAGATGACACAGACACATAGCACACAGAGCACACAGAACACACAGGACACACAGAAGACACAGGCTAGCAGCGAGACACCAATAGTATCATGGACACAGAGCGGATTACTCTTATACAAAAACAGAGTAGTCATACCAGAGGGACAGGCAAGATTAGAAGTAATGAAAGCAAGACACGATTCGATACTAGTGGGTCATCCAGGAAGAGACAAAACTATCACCATGGTCAAAGAGGACTATTACTGGCCACGTTTGGACGAGTATATTGCAAAATACGTAAAAGGATGCGAGATCTGTAACCGACACAAGACTCATCGACACCAGCCGTATGGACATCTAGTCTCTTTACCAGTACCCACACTGCCCTGGACAGATATCTCTATGGATATGGTGGGACCCCTACCAAAATCAACCGAGTTCGACATGATACTGGTGATAGTTGATCGACTAACCAAGATGGCTAGATTTATTCCATGTACAACTGGACTAACAGCGAACAAAGT